ATATATATTATATATATATATATAAATCAAGTCTGGATAAGGGAATTAAAGTCTGACAGAAAAGTATGGGCTGTGTTCTACCTTCCTTTTCAGCTCAGAGTCGTATCATATTGAGGTCATTTACAAGAATCCAGTGAGAGCGTCTGAATTAGACCAAACAGTTACACATGCGAGCCTCAGACCTGCGTAGAAGTCAACGTTACATTTTCCAGCAGCCTTCAAATAAGCAGCCTATAATTAGACACCATCATTATATTGTAGCTGAGCTTAGATCATCAAGTGAGTCAAAAGCAACACTCAAATTTTGTTTTAAAGTGTTTTCAGATGTTCAGGAGATGCTCGAGCGATCACAAATCCTACTGCAAGGAGATCATTATACCTTGTTTTAGGCAGGGTGATTATCTAAAATCATTGTTTTATGTGCAAAACCTGCACAGCAAACTTGCAACCACTAATGATATAAAGACAGAGACAAGTAACTAGAAGCACTTCTGTGAAAAAAATTAAGATATACTGTAATTTGATTAAAGAAAGCTCTTAAAGACCTCCATAAGCATTATGTTAGAGACTCTGACACGTGCCACCTACACCACCAGGTGGGATTCATTAGATTACGTGGCTGAGGGAGCAAATGTGACTCAGCTGAAAATCTAGAGCATTGCCTGCAGTTTATTTTTATGTATTCTTAATTCTGCGTCATGAGTCATGTTGTGCGGTTTCATTCAACTGGCTCCAGAATTGCTCTCAACTCACCACAAAGCAGAAATGACAAGACAGGCTTTCTCAAAACTAGTTATACCCTTCACGAGTTAAGATGGTAATACATCTGCTTTTTGTCTGTGCAAATGGAAATTATAAAGACAAATGAGGCGATACAATGTTCCACTTAACCGACTTTACACTTCAGCTTGATGTAATCCCAGACTGAAATCCACGAAACACTAATGCAATGACAGGAAAGATGACTAGCCTTTGAATCGTTTTTCCTCCCATAAAAGCGAAAACCTCAAAACCCAGTTTCCGCTGACTGGCTGCTTTTATTCCCTCTTGGAGTCGAAGAGGCATAGGCAAACAGGTTCAGGAGAGACGAGTCTGGGAAAAACTGCCGCACTCATCCAGTCTCCAGCCAAACCAACGCCTTGCCATGCTTTCTGCATGATGTTACCGACTGACCAGAAATGAGGGTATCGAGAGCCACTGGGATACTTTGACACATCATTTTTTGTGTCAGTGCCTGGCAACAAAGTTAGTTGCTTCTACAGCTGAGGATCTGGCAGGCCCTGGACCTTCAGTGAATCAGTACTTGTGGTTAACCAGCAGGGGAAAACTGATTTTGCCACCTCCCTCATATGTAATATAGAAATGTGCAGCTGAAGAGAGTTAGAAAAAAAGAGAATTGACCAGAGACCAGGCTTCCCTCTGATAGATGCAGATAAAACGTGATATTGGCAGCTACAAAGGGCTATTTTAAGGCTATTTAAACACAAATTAATAATGGGTATATCCAGGCTTTTAAAAATATCGAGGTCATAAAGAAAAATCCTGTAAAACTTTTTTCCGATATTTGGAAATGTTCTTTATTCATTTAACTTAAGGTGTATACAGTATATATGGGTTTTCTTCGTTAAAAAAAGTGATAAGTGATTCTTATCAGTTTTTTGTCACTATCTGCTAAGATATGCTTAACATATTTTAAAAACACATATATTTAACAGATAATTGATTACTTTAGATTTTTTCATTTATTAATTATGCAACAAACTATGCAAGATATAAATGTAAGTATAAGAAATTAAACATTTGTTATCTAGCTGATCAAAAAGGTGGGAATGTAAATTGAAGGTAATAACAACGTTTACCTGTAATTCAAGGAAACATTTTAATCTAATGGAATATATAATGATTTTATTTGAAACTTTGACAGTTTTCTTAATTTATGTTAAATAATCATAAATGCACGTTTAGTGCTTCCGTATACAAGGTCATATTTGAACCTGATGCCGTTGTATAAAAGTGAAACGAGGTGAGTGAAAAAAAACGGTTCCTTCTGCCCACTGTTGCCCAGACCCGTTGGAAAGAGAGACTCATTCGTCTCAAGGCTTTAAGTTCTTGGAGAGCAGCATGTCTGGGCTTCTGTAAAATAATATGCCTTTTTTTTTAAGCCTCATGAATGATCTGGACAGGCTGCACCCATTACCATTATAAACCTGCTCCCTGGCTAAATGACACACTGCGTGCTAATAGAACCATCCTTCGGGCAGCAGAGCAGAAACGGTAGAAATCCAAACACCGTGACGACCTCCTAACCTATCAGGCTCTCCTCTCCTCTTTCTCTGCTTCGATCTCTCAGGCAAAAAGCACTTTCTTTCAAGATAAGATCCAATCTTCCTATTCCAATCCCAAAAAACAATTTTCCATCTTTTCCACCCTCTTGGACCCTCCCAAAGCCCCTTCCCCCTCCTCCCTTCTGTCAAGCGACTTTGTTAACCACTTTGAAAAAAAGGTTGATGATATTCGCTCTTCTTTTTCTGACTCACCTTTACTCACCGCTGGGTCACCAGACCCTCCCTTCACCCACACACTAACCTCCTTCTCCCCTCTCTCTCCAAGTGAGGTTCTTACCCTCATTACTTCTGCCCGTCCTACCACCTGTCCTCTGGACCCTATCCCCTCAAACCTCCTTCAGACTATCGCTCCTGATATTCTACCGTTTCTCACCCATTTCATCAACACTTCTCTAACTTCTGGTCACTTTCCAAACAGTCTCAAGGAGGCAAGAGTAAACCCTCTCCTAAAGAAACCCACTCTCAACCCGTCCGATGTTATAAACTACAGGCCTGTCTCTGTCCTCCCATTCCTGTCTAAAACACTTGAACGTGCTGTCTTTAAACAACTCTCCTGTTATCTCCACCAGAATAACCTTCTGGATCCGCACCAGTCTGGTTTCAAGGCAGGTCACTCCACAGAAACTGCTCTCCTTGCTGTCACGGAGGAACTGCACACGGCTAAAGCAGCCTCCCTCTCCTCTGTCATCATCCTTCTCGACCTGTCTGCTGCATTCGACACGGTGAACCATCAGATCCTCCTTCGCACTCTCCAAAAACTTGGAGTTTCAGGCTCTGCACTTTCCCTCCTCACCTCATACCTCAAAGACCGTACCTACAGGGTAACTTGGAGAGGGTCCGAGTCCGACCCTTGTCAATTAACTACAGGGGTCCCTCAGGGCTCTGTTCTTGGTCCCCTCCTCTTCTCCTTGTACACAAACTCGCTCGGATCAGTCATTAGCCCGCAAGGTTTTTCATACCACTGCTACGCTGACGACACCCAATTAATTCTGTCCTTTCCCCGCTCAGAGACCCAAGTCGTCGCACGCATCTCTGCTTGTCTAGCGGACATCTCTCAGTGGATGTCTGCTCATCACCTCAAGCTCAACCTTGACAAGACTGAACTGCTTTTCCTTCCCGGAAAAGATTGCCCCACTTTTGACCTAACAATCAACATCGGCACCTCTGTTGTTTCCCCGACTCAAACTGCAAGGAATTTGGGTGTGATCCTAGATAACAAACTGTCCTTCACTGCAAACATCGCTGCTACAACCCACTGCTGCAGATACACACTTTACAACATCAGGAGGATACGTCCCCAGCTGACCCAGAAAGCAACGCAGGTTTTGGCCCAGGCTCTCGTCCTCTCACGCCTAGACTACTGCAACTCCCTCCTGGCTGGTCTACCTGCATGTGCCATCCGACCTCTGCAGCTCATCCAGAATGCAGCGGCTCGTCTGGTCTTCAACCTTCCAACATTTTCCCACACCACTCCGCTCCTCTGCTCCCTTCACTGGCTTCCGGTAACTGCTAGAATCCACTTCAAGACACTGGTACTTGCGTACCATGCTGCGAATGGATCTGGCCCTTCCTACATCCAGGACATGGTTAATCTGTACACCCCAGCACGTGCACTTCGATCTGCATCAGCCAAACGACTAGCTGCACCCCCGCTGCGAGGGGGACCCAAGTTCCCATCAGCAAAAACACGTGGGTTTGCTATCCTGGCTCCAAAATGGAGGAATGAGCTCCCCATTGAAATCAGGACAGCAGATAGCCTGCACATCTTCCGTCATCTTCAGACTGAAAACTCATCTCTTTCGACTCCACTTCGAGCGATAGAATTACTGACAAAGAATTGCTAACAAAGCACTTATATACTAATAAAGGACTGGCTTATCTAAAGCCAGTTGAGTAGCACTTGAAATGTTTGGCTCTATGAAACCTGATGTACTTATATGATTCTGTTTTCTTCAAGGTTGTATCTTCCTGGTCGAATGTACTTATTGTAAGTCGCTTTGGATAAAAGCGTCAGCTAAATGCAATGTAATGTAATAAACCCTGCTAATACTAAGAATAATGTTATCTTTCAAACCATGCAGACTTTTCAGCGTTTATGGAGTATTTTACGACACTAAATGTCAAGGGATCCATTTCCCCCTGGGACAGAAGCTACTGTTTCTTATCTCATTACAGATGTGTAATTCCACTGTTTGCCTAGCGTGGAAAAAGTGATTATCTCTCCCAAAATGACTATGTTGTCAATGCTGATATATCAAAGCCAAACCTTGACGTGTTAAGTTATGGAAACATTGTGGTTTTATATTTTCTGTCGCTTAAGAATCTTTCAATTAGACAAAATAAATCAGGATTGGGAATCTAGCCCGATGGGTTAGCGTTAACGGTTTGAATTAAAATGGAAGAGGATACATAAAACAAATAATCAACTTCATACTTTAAAATAATCCCTGAACCAAAACATGTAATTTGCTTGAATTTTCAAAAAAACAAAGGTTCATTTCAAATGGTATGAATGATATGATTTTCTTTTAACGTTAGCATCGTGGATATGCAGCAGCTATTATACATTCTTCTCCTTTTCTGAGAAGTAACAACTGTAAGGGATCATAATTTAACAAATAGTTTGTATAACAAAGAGAATATCAAGTTACTCTATTAATTGTATTAGTTTACATTTGACATTTATTCACGGTTACAAAGAAAAGAAACATAATTCAAACTCTGACACTGCTGTGGATAGAGAAGGACTGCAACTGAAATCATAGAACATTTGAGAAGAACGTCCGTTTTTCCTCATCCTCTCTTTCATTCTGCATGACTTCCACAAAAACATGGTGTTCAGAGTCCCTGTGAAAACTGGATAGCACGATTGGGCCTGAGTGTCTCTGATGTGTCTGGTCAGTACCAGTAGGACCCTTTGTGCCTTCTGGTCTCCACAATGCCCATTTTCTCCATGACTTCCTCCTCCAGGGTTTTGAGAGACGGTACGTAGGTTTTTTCTAGAGTGTCATCTGGACTGGTGTCTTTTGGACCGTCTGTAATAACAGAAAGACACAGTCTCATTCAAAGATATATATAGATTGTAAAATAACACAAGGAAAAAAAGCAGAAATGTGACACCTGTTCACTCAACTAGTCAGTTCCAATAATTTCCCAGAATTGATGGAAAACAATTATGTATTGGTAAAGGTTAACAATTTCCAGGTGTGTTCTAGTTTAGAAGAAAATGTGTTTCTTCCACTATAAAACAATCAAACTCCATCTCTCACACACCTATTTTTAGAATTAAAGTCTGCATATGGTGGAAAACTGACTGGCAGACAGTTTTATGGGATGACTCTTAGCTAGACATCGAATAAACTGGTTAGTGAAAATAATTATTCTCTAATAATAAAAACACAGACAGACTCACCTTTCCACTGCTCTGGCACGATGCCATCTCGTCGCTCTACGACCGGTTTGGGGATGATTCGCCCCGTCCTGAGAGACACTCGCACTCTATCACCCTCCTCTGTGAACTTCCACTCCACCTCTGTGGGCTTCCTGCAAGATCAATACCATCACGTCATGATTTATGAAGACACAAATTGATTTACATTTATCCACAGTAAATCATCTAAAAAAAGGTTAGGATTTAAAATAATAACATGTCTTCCACAAAAGACTAGATGAATTGCTAAAGTTAAAGGTTGAAAGTTGTAGTTAGAATAGATTGTAAGACCGTGAGTACAGGGCTCGAGCTTAAGGACGTCGAAAAAAATAGTGTCGGGGAGGATAAAAAATAATTTTGGGACGAATTTGGGACGAGAGTTAAAATAAAAATAACCTGCTAACTCTACTACAAATGGCGATGAAAATGAAACCGACTGCACGTTTTGTGTAGCATATTAAACCTCCTTGTCAACATAAACACACACGCACAAAACATTTAGAAACCCGCGAAATACACATACATGTAGCTACAGCTGTGCCGCTGGCTGTCAGCCAGCCGCCCAGCTGGCTGTGCCCGCGAATTCCTGGCCCGCAAATTCAAGGGTCTAGCTATGTACTGAGTGTGTGTATTTCGCGGGTTGAGTGATGTACAATGGCATCCCGCGGAGGAATTCTGAAATGTTTTACCGTTACATCACAAAAACGCACAGCAGAACCAGACCCTGGAGCGCCGGCCTCTTTATTCACTTACTCCTCTTCATCCCCTATGAGTAATAAGGCTGAGAAGAGAACCCTCCATCGTATTTAGTCCTTAGCAATATGATGCGCCTCTCCCCATGTAGGGATGGGTACCGAGCCCCGGTATTAAACGGGCCGGAATTATTAAAGACAGTGGTAACGTTAAGCTCCGACGTTATCGGACTTTTTATCGGTACTGGAGACATACAAAAAATATATGTTATATGTAGGGGTGCACCGAATGGGAAATTCTTGGCCGAAACCGATACCGAAAATAGGAAACAGTTGGCCGAAAACCGAATGCCGAAAGGCCGAAAATTATTATAGAAATATATATATATAATGTATACATTTTTTACCAATGTTGTTCAGCTACCTGATTATGGAAATAGACATGATTATGGCAAAACTTAACTTAAATAATAATCACTATTATGGGTCCATAAAACATTTATTCAGCACTTTTGAATGCATACAGTACATTTATATATGTCATGTATTATTGCTAAAAAACATTATATCGCAGTCTTAGTGTCGCCAACTCGTTTCTAATATGCAAAGACAACAAATGCGTCTATGATGTATTTTCGATCAGACGAGCTCTCTCTCCCCCGTCTGTGTGCGAGGGGGCGGGGCAGTTTACACACACGCAGCTGCTACATGCAGCGGAGCACACTGCGGAGATGGCGGAGAGAACGCGCTCCGAGGTGTGGTTAAACTTTACCCGTCTCGATGTGGAGAATACTTGTTACCATAAGTGCAATAAGAGTTTAGCATGTAAGCACGAGCAATTTGTCTAAACATTTAGCAAAAGTGCACCGCATGCAGACGGAGGAATGTACCGGGTTCGACCGTCTTTCTAGCAGCTCTGTAGCCCCATCCACGAGTAACGTTTCCACGTCAGGTGTTATGTATGCTAGCAGCAACACACGGAGTTAACTCCATGATACAAACATGGGTTAATGATTAGAGGAAACTGAGTTATTTAGTTTGTTAAAATTTCAGCTATTCTGTTTACAGTCTGTCATCAGATTATTTAATATGATTTGTTAAAGGCTCAGGGCAATCTCGATGACAAAGGTCAATGTTCCCCCCCCCCCTGTGAGCCAGCCGCGAGCATGGTCGCCGCGTCTTTATTACGTCATCACAACAACACGTTAGGTTACCAACGTAAGCCTGTTCTGACATTCGGTGAGATTTTTTCGGTGCTAAAACCCTTTCGGCCGAAAGCCGAAAGGGCCTTTTTAACCATTTTCGGCCGATAATTTTCGGTGGCCGAATATTCGGTGCATCCCTAGTTATATGTATTATTGCTACATACACATTATATCGCATTTGCAGTTTTAGTTTCACCAACTCCGTTTCTAATATGCAATAAGACTACAACATGCGTCTATGATGTATTTTCAAGCTTTCCAATCCAGACGAGATCTCTCTCTCCCGTCTGTGTGCGAGGGGGCGGGGCCGTTTGTAAAGGTCTCCTGACTGTGTTACAGACTGTCATCCTGGTTAGTGGTTACTCTGGGTTCTGTCTTCAGGACAGTATTGGATTGTGTTTTTAAATTGGATTGGACTTGATTGGATTCAATATTAGAGTAATTTTCTCGTTTGTGTGTTTGTTTAAATATATTTGGCCTTTGTTTATGTGATTGAATGATTTACTCAAATAAAAAGGTTGATGAATTATCATCTAATGATTTGTATGATGTTTTATTTATGTTAAAGGTCACTTTGAATGATTTTAACTAATGATAATGTAGAAAAACTAACGTTTTAAATTCGGGACGGTCCACATTAATTTCGGGACGGCTTAGATTGTATTTCGGGACGGTTCCGGGAGGATGGGGAAAAAAGTTAGTCAAGAGCCCTGCGTGAGTATAAACACAAAAAGGCTGTATGGTGGTGTACGAACATTCTCTGTTGTTTCATTAAGCAACATTTAGTGGGGAAATGACAGACATATTTTATGTCGTAGATCAATATGTGAAAACCTGTTAAGCACATTGTGTTTAATAAATCAACCATATTTCAGGCCTCTTTCTAAAAACCTATTCAAAGACTAATTGACTTCAAGACAAGGGAACTCATTTCCTAGTTGTAGGACTCATTCTTGCAGCACTAGGAGATCTCTGAGTTTAGCACAAGCTGTTTAAGACTCCAGATAGCAATATCGCAGGAGCATCTAGAAAAAAGGATTACAGCCAAGACTTCTTATCTGTTGTTAGGCTATTGTCAATGTCCTGGGGTGTGTGTGTGTGTGTGTGTGTGTGTGTGTGTGTGTGTGTGTGTGTGTGTGTGTGTGTGTGTGTGGGTGTGGGGTGTGTGTGTGTGTGTGTGTGTGTGTGTGTGGGTGTGTGTGTGTGTGTGTGTGCAATGGCGTAGCGGAGGCCCCCGCACCCCCCGCAGTGCGGGGGAGCCCCGGAGCTTAGGGGGCCCCGCCCCCACTGTAGGCTATCCTCTTAGATTTCGTAACACGGGAACAGGGCGCAGAGGGCGGGCCCCCCCCCCTCCCTGCTATGTTGCTACGTCATGTGTACGCTGCCTGTAGTAGTACAACAGTGTATCATTATAATTATTTGCTCACCTGCGATAGGGCTAGCCGGCTGATAACTAATGTTCATTGGCAGGCTGGGCAGCGTTCAAAACAAAGCGGGAAGCATTGCTCATATAAATAACGTTCATTAGTTGCGTTGCCGGTAAACATGAAAAATGAAGCGCCACTACCCAACGGTGCTCAGAAAAGCAAAATGAGAGCGAAAGCCGAACAGGAGAGGGCAAAACTACCTAAAATAACGTCATTGTTCCGGCAGGCAGCAAAGGTAGACGTAGACTCTAACGTTACTGCAGATAGACCGCTAGCAAACCCCCCCCCCCCCCGGCGGTCAGCTCAGAGTCCAGGCAGACAGCAGCCCCGTTACAGCCGAGCCAGCTAGTCGTGCCTCGCGCTTCGAGACAGGTTAGACATTAGAATAATAGAACGTTTTATTCGCCATAACCAGTAAGAGTATGCTACAGGTTACATTGGAATTGGAATCTAATCCGTTCCTTTTTGCAGGTCAGCAAGAAGTCAGCTGTGCCCCTCCGAGGCCAGTTCAGACATAGCCAAGGTTGCCCACCCAGCTAGCCGTGCCCCGACAGTGACAGCAGCTCCCACCCACCCCAGGAACACGTTGGCCAGCGACAACTCTGTGACTGAATACCCTACTGATAGGGGGAAATTCCCTGTAGATTTAGAAGACGATGATGTTAAACGGTACATTCTGAATAACGGGCCATGCAAGCATGAAGGGCCATTCAAAAGGGATGGGAAGGGAAGGTGCTTTTCAAAAGAGTTCTATAACAAAACACCGAACATTGGATGTAGAATTCCGCGCAAGTGGCTATGTTACTCGCCATCTATGGACCGGGTGTACTGTGAGCAGTGCTGGCTGTTCGGTGACAGACCGTCTGCCCATCACCTCCACCAAGCGTGGAGAATAGGAATAAATGATTGGCAGGGTCTCTCTAAAAAGATTAAGGAACACGAATTCTCTCGCTCTCATTTGGCAGCATGTGTCGTGTATGATACGTGGAAAAATAATCTGACCATTGACGCGCAAATATCATCTGAGTTTAAGAGAGAGGTGGGGTTTTGGACCGAGGTCCTAACCAGAATAACTGATGTTACACTAACACTGGCCTCTCGCAACTCTGCTTTCCGGGGTCACAGAGAGAAAATAGGTGATATAGATAATGGTAATTTCTTATCTACCATATACGCGCCATACCACCGTATGGCGCGTTATGATCCAGTTCTGCAAAGGCTTATTGAAAGCAAAAAGAAGGTGCACTATAAGTCCTCAAACTCAAAACGAAATAATTTCATTGCTATCGAAAAAAGTGCAGGACACAATCATTACAGACATACAGAATGCAGAATTCTATTCGATTATAATGGATACTACCCAGGACATTTCAAAAGTAGACCAACTGAGTCAAGTGTTCAGATATGTTACTATAGCAAATGATGAAAATGGAAACCCTACAGAGGTGAAAATAAACTAAAGTTTGTTGGGCTTCCATGCAGTCACAGACCAAACTGCTGCAGGTCTAGAGAGAGAAATTCTCGAATCGATGGAGAGAAAGGGGATACTACTTGGGAAGTGCCGCGGACAAGGATATGACGGGGCTAGCAATATGACGGGGCTAGCAATATGAGTGGCGTCTACTCCGGTGTACAAAAACGCATAAGGGATAAAGAGCCCAACGCAGTGTACATTCATTGTGCTGCACACAATTTAAACCTTGTACTCAATGACGCATGCCAAAATATACCTGCGATAAAAGACTTCTACGACACTGTTGAAAGGCTATATGTATTCTTTAGTGGAAGCATCAAACGATAGGAGCTTTTGGAAACACACCTCTCAGTGCCCAAGGCTGACCAGCCTACACTGAAGAGACTATGCCCGACACGATGGGCATCAAGACAAGACGCCGTCCAATCATTGCGGTTCCGTTATGCTGACATTATGCAAGCGCTAACTAAGATAGACTTGCTCTCCAGAAAAAGCGAGGAACGTGCCGAGGCGACTGGCTTGAAAAAGGCCATGGAGAGCTTTGAGTTTGTTGTAATGACTGTAATACAGGGCAAGGTCCTTGAAACAGTCAACATTGTGTCCCAAGTCCCAGGGGAGCATTTTAGAGTGGCAGTATTTTACGCAAATATCGATATTGTCGTTGCCGAACTCAAAAATCGATTTGTTGGAATGAGCGAAGTTGCACAGCGATTTTCTTTTCTGCTTCCCCGCGAACTTTTGCACGCAACAGACAAGGATCAGTCTGAGTCCGCAAGTGCTTTATCAGGCCAGTATAAAGACGACCTGTCAGCCGAGTTTCCTTTCCAGATCCTGTCCCTCCGTAATGCTCTTAGGCCTACTATAAAGAAAATTGAGCGTGGAACAATCAAAGACCTTGCACAAACCCTGCTCATTGAAAATCAGTCCATTTTGCCAAGTATCCCCGATGTTGCCACAGCACTGAAATTGTTTTGAACTATACCCGTGACTGTTGCCAGTGCTGAGAGATCTTTCTCAAAACTTAAATTAATAAAGACATATTTGAGGAGCACAATGTCGCAAGAGAGACTGTCTGGGTTAGCAGTCCTTAGTATTGAGAGCCGACGCGCGCAGTATAGATTTAAAGACTGTTATACAGGACTTTGCGCAGAAGAATGCCAGGAGACGTGCTCGTATAAAATAATAGGCCTACAAAGCAGCTCCTGATTGCATCCTCTATGTAGCCTATAGGATGTGTTTTATTTGTTTGTTTTTTGTAGGCTACTTTTCTTTTATACAGAATGTTATATATATGTGAACCGTTCCGTTGTGTGAACTCCAATGATGATAGGCTATAACGTTCTACAATACCTTCATGTTACAAAAAATACACAGCCACTTGTTTGTATTTGTCAATGATGTTTAAATCAGATGTATATTATACAGAAAGTTCCTACTGACCCTATACTGTTTAAATCAGATGTAGCCTATCTTTATACAGAAAGTTCCTACTGACCTATAGGCCTACTGTTTACAAAAGTTGCCTGAAAAAATAAACATTTAAAAAAGTGGCCGCGATGTCTATCCCATGTCACTCTATTATTGATTTAGGGGAGGGGGCGGGGCCCCATGGTCCGACCTGCGGGGGAGCCCCGAAATATTGCGCAACGCCATTGTGTGTGTGTGTGTGTGTGTGTGTGTGTGTGTGTGTGTGTGTGTGTGTGTGTGTGTGTGTGTGTGTGTGTGTGTGTGTGCATATGCATAGCCAACATTTATTTCCTTAGTAGCTAGGTTTACTGTACCTGTCTGAGGGGTCAACAAGCGCAATATCTGCGAGCAGGAGGGGAGCCTCACTGGCAACGTAGGACCCACGGGATTCCTCAGTTTTCCCGACGTACCTGAAATGCTAAAAACAGAAAAAGTTTTCGGAATGTTGTATTCCAACAGATGGATACAAATGTTTCATTATTTTGCACTTTGTCAGCTTGTTTGATCTTTAACAAGACATCTGTCTCCATCTGGTGGTGTGTGACACTTCTACAGTAGTAATTCAATTGAAAACGTAAGTATTTGGTAAAGAAATGGTAAAAAAACATACGGAAGCATCACCAATCAAGAATCTAACTTTATTATCCTCTTAACAGCAGCTCAACAAACTATACTGTGATGCAGTACACAGCTTCCTCTGGGAAAGACACTACAGAAGTTCCTTACTGTGTTCAGGCCCTGCAGAATAACCCAGTTTCTGTGTCTGAAGACTTGATTCACTCTCCCCTGCTTCCCTTTGTCCTTCCCTGCGAGAATCTCCACCTGGAAAACAAAAGAAAAGCAGATACATGAGTCCATGTTGTATTAGTCTCATATTCTGGAATGATATCTCTAAACCAGTTTATTTTGTCAATCAAAGTTTAGCCAAGAACGCTTGAATAATGAGTTAGAAGGCAGGCAACTGAGTCCCACTTTGCCCATAAAGACTTGTGACTTGAGTTCCTCACCATGTCCCCTTTCAGCACCGACCAGTCCTCTGCTGCGATCGGCTCCACGAACACCTTCCTCCTCTTCTTCCCTAAAGGATTTAGCCTCTTAGCAGCCGGCGTCCAGGGTCTGTTGGTGCCGAATCGGTAATCTTTGGGCACAACCACCTTGGCTGCCATCGACAGGAGAGCGGTCAGCCTCATTGTGCTAAAATGGGACAAAATATGTCAAAAGAGTTATTTGAAAAAAGTGCCGAGTTTCCCTTGACAACACAAGCTATGCTAACGTTAGTTTGTGGGAAGCTATCACTATACTTGTGTTAAAACGGCTAACCAAATGCTAATGTATTTTCAAACGCAGTGAAATCTTGAACAAGACTGCTACCTTTCTTGCCACAGTGTGGTTATAACAATAATAGAGTTAAGTAATATAACATGCACAATATCTTACCCTCTGTTGATGTCAATGTCACATGTAGCAGCTCTGCCTCGAACACTATCCTCAGCAGGCAGCGCCCCCTAGTGGAGAGGAGGGTGAGACCCGGCCGCACGCATGCGCACTGGCCCAATAATGTATCTGCATGTATTTGATTCCTTTTTAGGTTACAAAAAACATACAAGGTCTCGCAGATATACATTAAAAATGATAAAAACGTTATAAGAATACAATACAATTAATTATACCAGATTACATGTAGAATTAAACAGAAGGTTCTTTATTAATCATATTGATATTCTGTACAAACTTCAAAGTCAAAATTATAATTATAATCTTCAAATGTAACATTTGTGATATTAACATTTATATATAATAAACATTTATTGATTGATTGAATTACAAGGGATAAATAGGAAACATAACAAAGAGGAATATGGAATTCACAAAGCTTTCTCACTTTTGTACCTGTAAGTTCATAATCCACATTCAAAAAGATGTATAGAATATAAAAAAAGACAAACACATTTCTGTAATCAACATGTTTATTAAATGGACTGGCAACTACAACAGTAAGCAGCAGATAAAGATGAATGCTTCTGAAAGGAAAAGAGAAAGCTTAACCAAGAATAACACCTCAATGCCAAATGATACCCTCGATATTACAGATGGGCCCCTTCGACCATTTTTTAGTTGCAATTAGGGCAATGTTATAGGTGGGGGTATAAGCCGTTTTTAGGCAAAGCAGTCAGTTTCATGATCATTTTTAAAAGCTGAAATTCCCTTAGGTTCTTCACTTGATTAACTGTAACTCCATGTTGCCAGATACAGGCAAGAACACTAAAGCGATGACAATGACATCCAAGTAACACAGTGTCTAAACAGTAGTCTAAACAAATGATAAAATAGAACACACCTTGTACATCACAACTTTGTTTTACAGCCAAAATAATAAGACCATTGAAGTAAAACAGACTCATATTCCAGTTAAGAGGTTTGGAAAAAACTAAGCTTTACAGATGGTTCACTACACTCTTCTCATGAATTTGTGGAGATCATATGATGGCATTAACAATGTGAGCTATACATTAAAAAAACAAAAACGTATTTGGTACAACCAATTCATGAATGCAACTAAGTGTTCTTCCTGGTTACATTTCAAGTATGAACCAATGGCAGCATTAACATGAGCTTAATAAGAACTGGGAGGAATTGACAGTTGACTTGATGGATTTTGAAATGTTTGCCAGATCATTTCTCCAGAAAAAATTGCGACAAATAACTTTTACTACCTGCAAAAGAACTCCAAAACTTAAAGACTGAGCAACAACATTCAGGAATGTCTTTCTGGTTCCAATAATTAACATTCATCAGCGGATGGAAGTAAAATAGGGCTTTGAAAAGTGACTGATTTGATCCTACAATAGCACTTTTCAAATGGGCTTTAAATATTCAATCTGGAGAAAAGAATCCTGTAATTTGGTCACCTGCAATGAAGCATTCCACTACACTAAAGCAACAAAACCTGTGTTGCATTAAAACATCATACAGTGAACTAGACAATGATTAATAGGGCAGCTGAAAAAAAAAACCTAATTTTCAAAGTGCAACTCATCATGTATCCAATGACTGAATATATTATTTAAGAAGAGGCTGATAAGCTAGGTGAGATAGATGTAAGTAAAACATTGAATTTATGAAAGCTTGGGTGAACATTTGTTCTTATTCCTGTACAATAATGTGTTTTAAAACCATCAGATATAAGTATTTTGAATTTTTGTGGGGTTTAAATGTTTTTATATATTCAGTTTTGTATTCCCTCTGAACTGAAAATGTTTTTGACACCTAGCATTCAGTCTTTGTAATTATGTAATTGCACTTAGAAATAAAAAATATATACACACCAAAATCCCATTTATAAATGAGCCTTTAAGTGCTCAGTTCAATAGTTTGGAACCAGATTAGCAAACGTTTTGTTTCTGGGATATATGATATCCCAAAAATGGCAGATGAAGATTTGTTTGTCTCTGAATACAAACTTTTTGTTTTTTGTTTTTTTATTATCCTTTCAATTAAACAGTTGAAATCTGGCATCCTGCAGGTAATCATGTTGATGCTTAAATTCCTGGGAAAAGCATCAAAGTTTCTTGGGTTTTTTCTTCTGAGAGTTGACGTTAAGCGCTGTCTGTCACAGGCTGCAGGGAGAGAAGTGGAGAGCAATTAATGCATTAAGTAAAACACTTGATATAAATAGTGACTCTGTACCAATAACTGCATTTTACTTGTACAATTATCTCTTCTAAAATGGTATTTATTTGTATGTCTTAAAGTACATTGTATGTTGCATTGTTGAAGGTGCCTTGTATTAACATGTTCCATTGTTAAAAACTGTGTTAGCTGTTTTTCAAATGACAGTAAATCCTTTTAATCATTTTTAATACCGTGGTGTTATCCTAAAACCTGCAAAAACACCACAATGGCCACATTCTGTCCTCATCCCTGTGTATTGTCTCACCTTGTCTGCTGTTAGCTTCTCTCCTGCGGGAGCCTTGTCCTGGGCCTCTGCTTTCGACTCGCTCTGTGAGGAGGGGGCATTTGCCTTGGGTCCGGCCACATCATTGAGCTTGGCCTCCGCTTTAGACTTGCTGCCGTCGACTTTCGTGTCACCGTCTGCCTCAGTATCCTTCGGCCGCTTGGGTGAAGCCTAATGAAAAAAGGTTTGAGGGAGTGTCAGAGAGATAAATAACTACGAATCTTCCTACTTGGAGTATGTACGACTGACAGTCTCAAAGCTCACCTCTGTGGACTCCTCTGCTTTTCGTTTATTCCCTCCCCTCTCGTTCTTCTCGTCGATTACCAGAGCCCCTTCATCTTCATCGCTGCTGCCCTCGGCGTCTGCTTTCTCCGTGCTCCCAGCATCCCCTGCTCCTTCTGAAGCGTTGTCCTTCTTAGATGACTACCGGCAGAGATTTAAATAATAGTGTAAGAAAAGGGAGTCGGACCAACAGAGAGCACACGCTTGAGTCTGACTGTTGCCTTGAATAAATTAAAAGGGCAGTTCTCTGACAGTCCTCAATGGGGGTAAAGAGTGGAATGCCATTTTTGTAGAAACAGATTTCACCAGGTTTATACAGACATCAGCATTTTTCTTTAAGGTGTTCTAAAATTACCAAAGTTGGACATAACACAGACAGATTACTCACAGTACAATAAAACAGACTCGAAGAAATAGACCTACATCGTTGGCTTCATGCTTGACGGTGGGGTTGTTCTCGATCTCCCAAAGTCCCTCAGCAAAGCCTTTCCTCTTGTTTGCTTTACCAAACTTCTCTTTGTTTTCATCGTAGGGGCACAAATCCTTGGCCCCCAGGAACGCCCTGTGGTGAGCAAACATAACTCATTCAGTTTCGTTAAAGTGTGCACCTATACACTCCAGCATGTTCATTTCAAATGTCTGTTTGTCAGAGACGGAGTTATGCCACACAATTAGCTTTGTCGACATTCTACATACGGACAGCGATATACGATATAATAAGAAGGTATTTCCGTGATAATTTTCACAACAAATAATCAACTTTTCAGTATTATTTTTTAATCTTTTAAATATTACTGTTTTTCCCCAAAACTCAGAAAGAAGTTGGCAAAAGACAATTTTGTTCTATTTTCTTAAATTCTTAATGTTTACCCATCATATTTTCTCCACCTGGAATAAAACACACAACACATTACTCACGTCTCATGTGTCCCAAAGAAGAACACCTGGTACTTGTTTGAGGGGGACTTCACAGCTCCTTCGGGTAATTCGTCAATCTGTGAATACAGAACACAGCTTCTTAGGAAAGGCAGGAAAATAGGACTATCAAAAATGAAGGAAATAACAAAAGTAGATTAAAATACTGTAATGAAAACCCAGTACGACTAGAACAAAACATTTGTATCCTGAATCATGTTTACAGATTATAAACTTTAAACATTCTTTAGAAGTTAACGTGTTTTGAGTTCACAGAGCATCAGCCATGCAAGAGATTTTTTAAGTCAGGCTTGGATGTAATTATTTAAATTTGTATTTGCCAATATTTATTTGTGTTAGAGCAGAGGCACAGGAAGGCATGGCGTTTGTTTGCAAACTGCCAGACAGACAGCTTTGGCATTCCAAGATAGGGCCGTGGTGTCAGGATAGGTGGGGCCCTGTAGCCTGCTGGCAAGGGCCATGGCTGATAAGACTGAGAAAAAGGTACCGATCAGGACTTTGCGATTTTGGTATAGTATGTTCTGTCATTCAAATGCATAAAAGATTGAAACATAAAAACTCAAACACTGACTAAAATTGTAATTAACTGTTGACTTTCAACTCCAGAAGGTTACGGTTTTTGAGTTATTGTTTTGGCTATAGTGTAGAATAAAGAACAACATTGTTTTTTATTTTGATCCACATTTTATCTGATTTTGTGAGTGCAGAACAGTTTTTTTATAAAGCTCTGAGTGAGGCTGCGTTTTAGAGGGAAATGTAATTCTGTTGAAAGTTCACACTTTCTGTAATAATGAATGATTAGGAAACACTGACTGTAATGCGTTTATAGAACTGGTAGAGATTACGTTATGGTCTGTTGTTATTAGCATGGAACAATGTATTTACCGTGATCAGAAGTGGAAGAAGTACTCAGATTGCGTACATAAGTACAACTACCAGAGAGCAGGAATACTATTACAAGTCCTGCATTCAAAATGTTACTCAACTAAAAGTAGAAAAGGATTGAAATCAAAATATATACTTAAAGTAACAAAAGTAAAATTACTCATTATTAAGATTGGTCCATTTCAGAATTAGATATATTATATGTTTTGAATATAATTATTGATGCATCAAAGTGTTTATCACAGCTGGTAACAGTGGATCTAAATGTAATAACTTTGTATACTGGAGGGTAGCTTGTGGATTTAGTCCAGGTGTGACTAAAGTCTTATTTAAGTGCTGATTATATTTCAGCATATTTAGCTGACGCTTTTTATCCAAAACTAGCTATAAACCCAACCAGATTAAGTGCTACTGCAATAGCTTGTCTTAAAACCAATCATATCATTAATCCAAATCTGAAAAGTAACTAAAATAAAATAAATGTAGTGGGGTAAAAAAAACCACTCTGAATTGTAATGGGGTAGAAGTACAAAGATGGATATACTCAAGATAAGTACCTTAAAATTGTACTTAAGTACAGTACTTTTGTAAATGTACCTTTACTTCACATCACTGGCAGTAATGAAAGTCTATGCTTAGGAGCAGAAACAGTTACTTGTTGCACCAAGTCTGGGCAGGCATGTTTACAAAGTATCAAACCATATGGCTACACACGCAAACATGTAATGCAACAATTATACACAATAACCACCTCCAAATTAGTAAGTAATGTAGATACAAAGTGGATTCCTATCAGTGTCCTCAGGTGGCCCTGTGTTCACATAGCGTGTGCTACTGGCGGTGTATAACATGACCGTTAACTTGTGGCTGCTCTTCTGAACGGTTAGCTGTTATTAGCCTAACAACAGGCCCCCTGGGAGACAAAAGCGGCACATGAAGAGCAGCTTCGGCGGCAGAGAGCAGCTAGCAACGCCAGTCATATTTAGTTAACCGAGCAGGGTAATGATGTCTGTGTCCACGATGACTCACTCGAAAGACATTTGTCTACAGTTGGTTAGCTGTGTGTGGAGGCTGGGCAGCGTTAGCTAACACGGCTGAGCTAAGCTAACTCATCAAAGCTAATGCTAACCAACGTTACTGATAGGCCTGGTAGGTAAACAGAAAGACTTAAATGTACATCAAACCTTAAGCTGGTTCAAATAGATTCAACGTCAGGTGCTTACCCTCGCAGGCCAGTGTGGATACCCCTTCATTTTAGCAAACACCAGATCTCCAGGTTTGTATTCTTTTTGCCTGTTGGACCGCGGCATGTTTCTTGCAGAAATTGCTTGCTATGTCCGCCAAAAAAAGAGTAATAGTTTAGGGTGGGTCAGTGTCCGGGTTGGTCAACACCTGCTGCAAACGAGTCGGGTTTTCATTCAAATGAACCAGGCGCGGAAAACGGGAGCGAAGACGCGGCGGCGGACGAGCTATTTCGCGGATCCAGTGGGATAAAAAAAAAAAACCGCGGCCTTTGATTAGGACAATGCACTGGTTTATGAAAGGAAACGTAAAAATGATACGGCTAAACGCTTTAACGTTTTGGTGTTTATGTTATTCTACAATCCAGGGGCCCGTCCCTCGGTCTGTTAGGGTTTGAAATTGAAACCGCTTCCCACTTTGCAGACGCGCCCCCAGTACCTGGCGAAGCTGCAGTTAGCGCCCCTGTCGACCGAAACCTCACACTGGAGGTTTATTCTCATACAATACATAAATAAAAAGGGACCCATTTGGGGTAAGCAAGTATAAAAACAGTATTTGCTTGAGAATGTGCAGGGCAATTTGATAGAAATGTAAGTACACAGAATGATAATTGTTTTCTTACAAAGACAGCCATAAATAAATGGACAACCATGACTGCCCGGAACCATCGTCGCATATGTTGTTTCCACCCGGAGTCATGAGTAGCAAGCACTGCAAGCATGTTTTGAACTCTGGAAGTGTCCATGCTGAAATATCCGATAATAATCCTTTGATATTTTTGTGTTAAATCCATAAAACGAGTCAATGTAACCGGAAGAATAGTCTGGGATTTAACAACAACAATTACAGCCGTATTTCTGACTGCACCTATCAGTCACCATGGGACTCAAGCGACAGAAAATAGCCAAGAAAACCATTAGCTTCTACAAATACAACTTCAGCTTCAGACAACCATTTCAGATCCTCATCGATGGGACTTTTTGTCAGATGGCTTTAAAGAACAAAATTCAGATCAAAGAGCAAATGCCTAAATATCTGATGGGAGAAGTGCAGCTGTGCACCACAAAGTAAGTAGAGCTACTCATGTATAGTGTTTATGTTAAATGTCAATATCTTACATCTTGCTTATTTTCCAGCTGTGCACTGAAAGAACTGGAGACTCTGGGGAAAGAGCTGTATGGAGCAAGAATCATCCTGCAGAAGTTTCAGTCCAGGAGATGTGCACATCTTAAGGATCCTGTCCCGGCTTCAGAGTGTCTGCTGTCCATGCTAGGGGAGACAAACCCACACAACTACTTTGTTGCCACACAGGTAAATACCAAATAGATCCTTTGTACACTCACACACACCAACTAGAGGGAAAGCAAAATAAGGAATAATGTGTTTTTTGGGTACTTGTGGGTTATCTGTTGCCTTTTTCATTTATCAAAATAACAAACGTTAATCCTAGGGGTTAATGTTGTTTAGAGAGTCTGAAAAAAAGAAACAAAAATGGTGACAGATAACCCACAAGTACCGTTTTTTGTATGTTGGAAATCAGAATCAGCTGACCTTATCTTATGTTTAAACACACCTACACATACAGATATAAATAGACATAACGCTAAAAGGTCAACAAAGCTGTAAAGTAAACATAGAACTCATGTACAAATTAGAACGGGTATATACAAAAAAAATGTCTAAAACTACTAAGCAACAACCTGATGCATTGATTTTGTATCTGTGCGTACTCCAGGACCACACAGTCACTGCAGGTGTGAAGAAGATCCCAGGCGTTCCTCTGCTCTACATCATCCTCAACACCATCGTGCTGGACAAGCCCTGCCAGACGTCCCTTGATCACGTGAAGGCCGTCTCGCTGGGAGAGATGGTCAGCGTGGCGCAGCAGCAGAGCATCCGCAGCCTGAAGGAGGACAAGGGCATCGCACAGAAGGACGGAGAGAGGCGGGGGAAGAAGAGGAAGAGGAAACAGAGCAATCCTAACCCTCTGAGCTGCCTGAAGAAAAAGAAGAAAGGGGGGCCGACACCACCGAAGAACACGGAGCAGGGGGAGAAGAAGAAAAGCGTTAAAAACAAGAAACAAAAGACGGAGGGAGGAGACAACTTGCCAGCTCCTGTGGTTACAAAGGCATAGAGACAAGACATAGACTTTATCCATTCGTTTCTTTAATTAATGATATGAAAAGTTCCACAATCTCAAATATGATACTTGCTCTAGTGTGTTTTACCGATGTTATTAGAATAAAGCAATGTTTTTCACATGATAACATTTTTAAATACTGTTCACGGTATGTTTTCTATTTTGAAAAATGTTGCAACAGTTTCAAGACTAAGGACTTACAGGCACAGGACTGATATATGTTCAGAAACATAGCAGTATTTTTGAGTCATGGAAGATTTGTCTAGGCTTTTTTACAAAATAAAAAAGCAGATTTACAGGCACATAGTTTAGAATATAACATACTTGGACATTACATCATATAAGGTTGAAGTAGATATCAAAAACAATGCATTTAGCTGTCTTTGTAGAAGCACAAGTGTTGTCACAAGGAAATGTACTGTATGCTGTGTGAGTCCAACAACCAATTAGACATCTTGATTGTGTAATTATTCATTCTAGAGATTAAAAATGTTGCTTTTTAATAAAAAAAAGTGAATTCTCTTTATATATACATTAATACATTGACATTGAACAAGTATCAACTTGATTTAAACTTTCAGAAGTTATTCTTAACAGTTTGTTGTACAGTTTTGACTAAATGATTATATATACATAAAAAGGACACAGGATAAATTGAGCCATTCACAAACTTCAAGTATTTTAGGAATATGAAAGCAACACAGTAATACAAATGTTAATTTCTTGAGCAATTACACCAATACATGTCAGGACTAGCATGCAAATATGGCCGGCCACTGCTGTTTACATCATCTACAGGTTGAAACCAAAGCTGTGTCCCACTTCCATAGTAGATACTATTTATATGCAGTATGTACAATATGTTTATAGTGTGCAAAAGTGGCACACTCAAAACATTTGAAATAAGTATGTAGTATGGCTTTGGGACACAATTATAGCTTTGTGCAAACAGTTGAAGATGCAAGCCACGCATTTACAAAATGTACAACTGGAAGTTAGCAATACTTAAAGTGCTACACTACAGTCACACCATGATTAGTTGCTGGTTGAGTTTCACTACTGTAGTGACTGTTGAAATGTTCTCTTGCAGGCTCTGGGTATAGTACATGCTCCTTTTGGCTAATGTCAGTGTACATGAGAACTATTTGTCCTGCAGTGTTGGGACAGAAGTGTCTCCAAGTAACAGGGTTGATTGAGTTATCACTTGCACCATAAACATATTTTAAACTAGACACATTTTAACTTGAGTTCCATGCTGGTGCAACACAACATCTCCTTAGGGATAAAAGTGCTTATCAATTTAAAAAAAAAAGCAAAATAATATAAATAGATCAAATAAATGATAATAAATAAGAAAAGTGCCAATTGTTTTGATTTGCAACCCCCCTTGAATTTGATTTTTTCTAAGAAGACATAATAAACAAACCTGGTTATTCAAACATCTTCGCTCCCACCACAATATTTAAATATTGCAGGAAGAAGAACATCCCACAAAATAACCTTTTCCTTACTAAACTAGTGTTTTCTAGATGATGTGAAAGCGAGGTCCGGGTGTAGCTACGATGTCGCTGTACGGCTCCTCCTGCACCAGCTCCACCGCCTGCTGCTTCTTCAGAACCAGGAAGCTGTAGAACTTGGCCGCCGCCTGCTTCTTGTTGTTGTTCCTGCACAGATCCAGCAGGCCCACCGACTGGGCGCCCGTTTTGTCCATCACCCTCTGTGGCAAGGTGAGACAGAGGAGGTCAGATCAACTGTAATTCTTTAAGCAGCAGATGATAAGATCCTATACCAAATAGAACAATCCAAAGCCTCTTGCGTGTACAATCACAAAAGCGCCTTATCAAATTGAAATTCAAAAGAGCTTTATTGTCAAGTTGTAAGGAAATGTAAATCTGTATTTTTTCAATATATTGTAATTTGTTTGTTTGTTCTAGTGATATAATTCCTAGTTTTGTGTAATATCTATCATAAGTGGGTCAAAAAGGACCCGTATTAGAATAATATGTGTTTTTATGCCATTTCTGTCATTTTGGTTAAGAAAATCACTTGTAATATTTAGTATTATATTTTGGTTCACACTAGAAATACTTTATATTGAATTTTTCACTATTTATAATTTTAGACATTTTTTTTACATTTTGAAAAAAAATGTTTTGAAAATATTGATGCAAAGATCTCCGCTATTCTGAGACCCTCACAGTATTCCAGTCCCTTTTCAAAACTCATCTCTTCTCCTCTTGTCTACTCATAGCCCACCCCCCATCAATCCATGCCGGTTGATCAAGTTTGATAGTCCCACCCTAACCTTCCCTTATATTGTAAAGCGATTTTGAGTCCTTGAAAAGCCCTATACAAATATAATATTATTATTATTATTATTATTATTATTATTATTATACTGACAGGTATCAGATCTTGCTGTGTAAAATAATCTTCCTGAGAGGTGTCACTTGTGATGTAGTCTGTGTGGTCTACAGTGAATGTATTCCTGACAGCAACAGGTGATAAGAACCAAAGGTTCCCATAGGGTTCCATAGGAAATGCATGCGGGTCATTTTTGACCCACTTATGGAAGCTTGGGGTAGTCATACAAAAACTACAATATCTTAAAATGTATTACATTTAAATTTAAAATTTGAATGGCATGATATCCAAAACATGTTTCTTGAGGAATAGCTGGAATATGAAATGATAAAAAAATGTAATTACAAAGATACTTAAAGAAAACCACCTCACCGGGTCAAAAAAGACCCACTTCTACATCTAAGGGCTACAGATATCTGTTTCAGTTCAAATACCTTATTTCCAATTTTTCCGAGATAAAGCACGTTTTCTATTATTATTTTCCCCTAAAACATCAAAAATCATGAATATATTTCTCTCTTTATAACAATTCCTGAAAGGAACATTTTACATAAGCGTGCCTGTGCAATGTTTCATATCTAGTTCTACAGGCCAAATATTACGTATCACTTAAATAGAATATAATCCAGGGTGTTATAATGTATGAATTTGAAGTAGTAGTTGCAAGATATGCTGTTATTCTGGCTCTTCCAATAAGATGTAAACACAAAGATACCTGAAGGCCATGGAGCATCTGCTGGGTTCTCTTGTTCCACTTCCTCTCCTCCTGGTCCTGGTCTCCTCCCTGCACCTCCTCCTCCTGACAGAAAAACGTTTTAAACACTAACAAATTCTCCTTATAATAAAGTAATTGAAAACATAAATCCTCCTTAAATTAATCTGAAAAATAAGGAATAA